TTTCTTCTGGAGTTAGTTTGGGAATAAATAGCCCAGTTGTTGACAAGATTTTGTGTCTTGTTTGAATCAGTTTTATTATGGCATTTGTACAAAAGCGTATTACAATTACAAGCTTTGCATGGATAATGGAATAGTGTATCAAAATTTAAAAAGTGTATTTACAATGGAAAATGTAGATCTGATATGAGGGTTTTTTCTAACTGTATTTCCTGGTCACAGCAATAATTTGTACTTAATTGCAAGCAAATGACTACAAGTATTGCTAGGATATTACTGGCCCCACTTGTCCGGCTAAGATGCAGGCAGTAATCAGGCATTTTTGGAATGCTTTCTATTATTTGTCTGACTCTCCGGCGTCCATCATTGAACACTCTGGAGTGCCAGAGTTGCAACTCCTTCTGTGTCCTTCCTCTATGGTGTAATAGTAATACTAAAGACGAGCATAAACTACAAATAAAACAAACTAAAAGAAAAAAACCAAAACAAATGATAAATAACTGAGAAAATGAAGATGCGCAGAAGATATGCACTTCAGTCACATATTCTGCCAAATTGAATTATAACATTTCAAACACAAACAAATCCAGCCTATTACAGTTTTGTCCCCAAACAGATTGTTTTTAAGCGAAAGGTCACACTTAAAAATAACTTGAGTTTTAAGATGGATTGTGTCATACATTTAATGAAACGATTCAAAGTCTCCTAGCTGAAGCAACATCAATTTGGGTTAAATTTTTTAAAAATGTGGCAGGGAGGGTGGTTTGATAACAATATCTGAAGGGGTAATCATTTTGGAATTTTCGGATATGTTGGAGAGATATCCAGCTGTGATTTGAAAGAGAGTGATTGTTTCTATCAATTCTTGAATCGATCCAAGGCAGTCAGATATCCCAATGATTTCTTGGCTTCCTTCTCCTCCTTCCGTTTCTTCTCTTCATCTTGCTTCTTGTAACTTTCCTGTCGAAGTTTCTCCTGTCAAATAAGCAGACAATCGTCCTCAGTGCTCACTTCCTCAGTTTTTGACCTCTCCAAGTGTGGAAGGGCCAATTTTCAGTTGTAATTTTATATATTCTTTATTGTTTAGAAGATAGGAGTAGTGCCCCTTAGTGAGGAAAACCCCATTTATTTCAGTCTCAGTTGGATATCCCCCTCCCCTGTCTTGGTAGTGTGTCCCCCTGTTTGTTTACTATAGCCCAAGGTCCCCTATAAAGTTGCCTCCTGGTCAAGGCAGTCCAGTACAGCAGACCAGCAGTGAAGTGTGTACATGTCCCTGTACCTGTGTTCATCTTTCACCCTCTTAACTAGAGTGGTGCACCCTGCTTGTGTTTTGTCTGCTCAAGTCATTGGTGAGTCTTTATTTCTACAATAATTGTTTTCTTTCATGTACATGTACTGTGAGTAGTTTTAGTACAGTTTAATTCAATGTAATTTTCAAGTTTGTTTAGTTTACAGCGTAAACTTTGATTCTGGACAAGGTCAGTCTTTTGAAGAAGTTCTAGTTTTGAAGCTATGGAATTCTTCTATTTGCGCAATTTATTTATCATGTATAGTCAATAGTCATTCAATTATTTATCATGTATAGTCAATAGTCAATAGTCCTTCTTATTTAACGTTTTAATGAGGTAAACAAGATTTTTGTTGAGACTTTCAATCTATTTGAGTGTTTTTGAGAAAGTATTTCAGCTGGTTCAATTCAACTTGAGTCAAGTACAGGACCATGCTGTATTCTTTTCTGTCAAACTGGTTATTCATTTGCTTTCTAGATTCTCTCAATGTCTTTTGTACATTTTATAAGAGAGGCGTAGAGTTTAGTGAGTCAAGACCACACATGTGATTTATAGTTTTATTCTGAATTTTCCCTCTGCACTCACTTAGTCTCGATGGACATGCTGGACTTGTTGCATAATGTGTTCACTCTTGCCTGGGGATGAGCACCTTCCACTTTCTTTGTATGAGAGAACTTGTTTATTGTGTCATGAATATTTAGCAGACCCTGTTTCTTATTTATTATTTTCTTATCTTGGTTTACAGACTTCTTGTTGGAGTGTACTTGAAAGGCCACTTATACACACTGCGTTGGTTTTAGTCCTTTTAAATCTTAGTTTAAGTCCTTTTAAAGTTTTAGTCTTTTTTAGACCTTTCAAAGTTCTCTTATTATTACTTAAGTCCTTGGGGTTTTTGCATCTTTTAGCACTTTTTCATTAATAAATTCTTTTGTGTCCTTTTTGTTGAAGTCAAAATAATATTGGTGTCTGAGTCCTTATTAATTCAGTTTCCAGCGACCCTTCCCTCAAAGATCCTCGGTTTAGTTAGAGTTTTTGCTGTTTTGTAAGTTCCCCATCGTGTGCCATTTTTCCCTGTTACACAAGCATTACGGTCACCCTAAACCTCAGCCTTCACGTTGGCCAGAGTGTCTAAGCCTACAATCAACCACACTCTTGGCTTGTCTCCAACCTTCTATCAAGAGAACAATCCATCTCAAGGTCAGACTCAACCTTAGCTCTACCCTCCATCTTAAGCCGAGTCTGCAGCCAGGAGTAGTATAACGANTCCTCTTAACTAGAGTGGTGCGCGATGCTTGTGTTTTGTCTGCTCAAGTCATTGGTGAGTCTTCATTTCTATAATAATTGTTTTCTTTCATGTATTGTGAGTAGCTTTAGTACAGTTTAATTCTATGTAGTTTTTAAGTTTGTTTAGTTTACAATGTAAACTTTGATTCTGGACAAGGTTAGTCTTTTGAAGAAGTTCTAGTTTTGAAGCTTTGGAATTCTTCTAATTGTGCAATTTATTTATCATGACAGATTCATTACCGCTTTTAATTTTGATGACAGTCATTCTTATTCAACTTATTTAATGAGGTAAACAAGATTTTTGTTGGGACTTTCAATCTATTTGAATGTTTTTGAGAAAGTATTTCAGCTGGTTGAATTCAACTTGAGTCAAGTACAGGACCATGCTGTATTCTTTTCTGTCAAACTAGTTATTCATTTGCTTTCTAGATTCTCTCATTGTCTTTTGTACATTTTAGATGACAGGCGTAGAGTTTAGTGAGTCAAGACCACACATGTGATTTATAGTTTTATTCTGAATTTTCCCTCTGCACTCACTTAGTCTCGATGGACATGCTGGACTTGTTGCATAATGTGTTCACTCTTGCCTGGAGATGAGCACCTTCCACTTTCTTTGTATGAGAGAACTTGTTTATTGTGTCATGAATATTTAGCAGACCCTGTTTCTTATTTATTATTTTCTTATCTTGGTTTACAGACTTCTTGTTGGAGTGTACTTGAAAGGCCACTTATACACACTGTGTTGGTTTTGGTTTTTAGTCCTTTTAAATCTTAGGTTAAGTCCTTTTAAAGTTTTAGTCTTTTTTAGACCTTTCAAAGTTCTCTTATTATTACTTAAGTCCTTGGGGTTTTTGCATCTTTTAGTACTTTTTCATTAATAAATTCTTTTGTGTCCTTTTTGTTGAAGTCAAAATAATATTGGTGTCTGAGTCCTTATTAATTCAGTTTCCAGCGACCCTTCCCTCAAAGATCCTCGGTTTAGTTAGAGTTTTTGCTGTTTTGTAAGTTCCCCATCGTGTGCCATTTTTCCCTGTTACACAAGCATTACGGTCACCCTAAACCTCAGCCTTCACGTTGGCCAGAGAGTCTAAGCCTACAATCAACCACACTCTTGGCTTGTCTCCAACCTTCTATCAAGAGAACAATCCATCTCAAGGTCAGACTCAACCTTAGCTCTACCCTCCATCTTAAGCCGAGTCTGCAGCCAGGAGTAATATAACGGCTGGCAAAGTGGCTGCTGCCACTAGCAGTGGCCTTCATGTCATTTCCAGTTGCATCTGTTTGAACATTGCCCGATTTGTTCTTATCACAGCCTAACCTCGCATTCAACTTTATACCAAGTGCTCCACCACTGCAGCGATGAGCCACACAGTACCACTGCACGCTAATCTGGCCCGTATTGAAAAGAAGTCAGCAGCGCACTGTGCCAGTTTCGTGAACAAAAGAAAATTACGTAACACCGCAAAATCTTGGCTCTTTTTTACAAGGCGGCAGGCCTGGCTGAAATACTCCAGTGTCAATAGATGTTGTCTGTCAGATTAGAGTAGAAACCCAGACAGTCCTTCGTGTGGGTGTAAGTGTCCAGTAAAAGAAGGTATGAATTTTTAAAGAATTTGGAAACAGAAAAAAATGATAATTATACCGTCCCAGCATCATCAACATTGATAAATGCCACCGGTGCGAAGTGGTTAATCTGGCATTCATCCTAAGCCTCACTCTAACCCACAGGCACAACCTCGGCCTCAACCTCATTCCCAACTCTCTACAAAACCAGACCATCAACTTCAAAATCAGTTATCTTAACCAGTCTAATCCTAACTGTCAACCTCCAAGTAAACAAACAAACAAACAAACACCCCAACACCCCAACAAACAAACACCCCAACACCCCCAACAAACAAACAAACAACCCAACACCCCCAACACACCAACAAACAAACAAACTCTTTTGCCTCACCGTTTCCTCCACCTCTCAGTGACAACTTACCCTTTTCTCTTCCTCTTTGTGACCCTGTTTCCTCTGTTCCCTCTTGGAGGCAGTGCTCCGCCCCTTCTTCTTAAAGCGAGGCTCAAATTTGAGTGGTGGCTTCATCCCCTGTAACAAGTGCAAAGAAGCATGGTAAAATACTTCAAAAACTAACCTCTTAGTACTACTCTGAAAATGTGAAAATTCGAAAACCACTCTTAAAACACTCAGGTGTTTTTCCACAGAGGTCATTCAACTTCCATGTTCAGTGCTCGCACAATATTGAAGGAGATTTCAGACAAACATGTGAGAGGAAAACTTCTTCCAGCTAATTTGTTTGAAAGTTAACATTTGTCTGCGTTCTATGGCCACAATCCTGAATAAATCTTGTTGGGCCTCAAACCCCCAGACCCCCTTCCAATGTTGGATCTATACACGGTCAGCAAGAACACGCTAAACCAAAGTTTGGTCAGCATGTTCCTTGTTTTCTTTTTAATGATGGGAGTGTTAAAGTCATGAGGGATATTGGCTGTTACAATGATTGGAGAAGGTTACTATAATCAGTTCTTTGACGTGTGGGGTTTTCTTAAACCAATATTTGCTGAATGGGTGACAAATGAGTAATAGATAATGCTGAGGTTTTGACAAGAAGTCAAGGTCTACACTTTGAAGGGAAAAATTAACTGACAGAACATAACAACACTTGAGAAGACAGGTCAAATTAGACAACCTACAAAATAAATGCCTCAAATAAAAGACTCACTGGAACCCCATGGGCTCAAACATAATCTCTGGGAATTTGCTTTATATTTTGATAAATGAAATGATAAATCTGGTGGGTGATAAAATTGGAGATCTGTGTTTGCATCATTTACAGGTCAACTCGGGTAAATAGCCTTTATTAGAACAGGAAAGGATACGGTGCTAAGAATAACTTTGGGGTTAAAAGAAGGTTAGTATACTTAGAGCCAGCAAATTCACCTCTCAAGTCACTGTTTCAGATTTAACCCTAAAAGGAAGGAGGGACCCCCTTTGATTTGTTTAATATTGTCGCATTTCTTCGCATGCTAAGCCTTCAATTTTTTCAGTAATATCTTAACAGTCATTTTGACATTAATGTTGCAAACATTTGAAATACTCTCTTGCGACATGCCCATTTTTCTGAGACACGTCTTTCAAAAATGAAAATACTTTTTCCACTGATGTGCTCCATGCAGCGACAATGCAATGACTAACAACAAAAACTATCAGTCGGATTGAACTGAAACTTCACAATTTGTTCTGATAATGTGTGTCTTTATATGCATATTAAGTAGAAAAATGACCAGGCATGGGATATCCTAGCTTGGAGGAGTGGGCAAAATCCCCCCTCCTGGCTGTGAGACGGTCCCAGAAACCCCTAGCTCCTCTAGGGTGAAGAAATAAACTATTTGGAGGATGTCAAGAGAGTTTGCTCACATAGAGTTCTTGTCTTTCTTTGTCTCTCTGTTCCATGGATGCTGAGTCAATGTAGCCAATGGTATGAGGATCAAGAGTTATCAACTCTGGTGGAATCTGAAAGCGAAACATCAACGGATAGGAATTAAAATTGGCTGCTCATGAATACAAAATAAACCAATAAAGCAACCACAGTGGAATTGTTACAAAATGAAATTTGTGATGTGACATTCCTTTCATCAATAGCACCTCAGATATTTATTTTCTAAATCTTCAACTTGAAACAACCTGATGGTACTTTTTTCACTATTGACTAGTTTTCTGAGAGCTTTGTGTACAGTGACAGAAACTGACTCATAAAGTCTTGAATGTATCATTTGAAATTTGAGTAATTTCATGGTTTTAGGTAAATAAGGTTTGAGTAACGAAATGCAAAGTAAGTGAGTTCACAAGTGGGTGCCCATACCATCTTCAGATCCACTTTTTTTGGGGGGGGAGGTTTAACAACCTCGTGTTTACCTTTTCCAATAGAGCCTTGACTTCAAACTCCCTTCGCTGCGTTTTTGACTGGTAAGGGTTGGCCTCCAATGCATCAAAGTTGGGCTCCCCAGCACCTGTGAAAAAAGGAAATAAAAATGAACCAAGTACAAACTAAACCAGAAGTTTATGCCCTTTCGAGAAGAGAACATTTAAGGCTTTTCTGCATTTTGAATGTTTCTTATGAAAAAGGGAATAGGGCTTAGAATGGACATTAAATGGCACGTTATTTTCGTCCAGCTATCTGGAAAGTTCAATTGCACATGGACTCCAGGAGATGTGAAGCTTTAAACACTGCACCTCTTATACCATGTTACTTGCTACTTGGAGAGGTCATCATCACATGAGGGCAATTTTCATCTATAACCCTTCCCTTTCCAGGTATCTGCAAAGTTTCAACCCGATGGGACATGTATTTAAGGAGATATAGCGCTTTTAAGAGTGCTCATTTAACGTCATTTGACTTGTCACCTGATGACGTCATCATCACATGAGGGCAATTTTCGTCTATATCGCTTCCCTTTCTAGTTATCGGCAAAGTTTCAGCCCAATGGGACACGTACTTCAGCAGACAGAGTGCTTTCAAGAGTGCGCCTTTAAGTTCACGTGACTTGGCACCTGATGATGTCATCATCACAAGTGGTCCGTTTTCATCTTTGGTACATCACTTTCAAAATATCTGCAAAGTTTCAACCCAATCGGGCATGTACTTCAGGAAATATAGGCCTCTGAAATTTGCACCTTAAATGCCACGAAACGTGACACGTGGTGACACCATGATGACGATTTCTTTTGGACCCTGTCTACCCCGAGGAGGACCGAGTGTATACCTAATATGTATTGAGTCAGATTGAAAAAAGGGGCTAGTCTTGATGTTGAAAAATGTGTACATTGAAAAACGTAAACGTATATCCTCTACCAACGGGACTTCCGTTCACTTCCTCCTACCTGGAATAAGTAGGCTTGCATATCCCTTGGAATGCGTAACTCCTAAGACATCTTCATAAGGGCAGAAGCTGAGTCCACTGATGGGAGATCCCAGGGTGTGTCTCATGTAAGGTTTGTCTATGGTGGTTGTACAACAATCCTTATAGACCTGAATATTTGTCAAAGAAGATCATCTCAAAATACCTTCGAGACAGAAGGAGCGAGTACAGAGACATTAGTATTGGTTACTGGTTTTTTTGTCATGAAATTTTGATCAAAATACCTTTGAGGTCTTCAGGTACAGTTTATGTTGATGACAACGTGCCATACATGAAGGTACAGTTTATGTTGATGACAACGTGCCATACATGAAGGAACAGTTTATGTTGACGACAACGTGCCATACATGAAGGAACAGTTTATGTTGACNGAACATTTAAGGCTTTTCTGCATTTTGAATGTTTCTTATGAAAAAGGGAATAGGGCTTAGAATGGACGTTAAATGGCACATTATTTTCGTCCAGCTATCTGGAAAGTTCAATTGCACATGGACTCCAGGAGATGTGAAGCTTTAAACACTGCACCTCTTATATCATGTTAGTTGCTACTTGGAGAGGTCATCATCACATGAAGGCAATTTTCATCTATAACCCTTCCCTTTCCAGGTATCTGCAAAGTTTTGACCCGATGGGACATGTATTTAAGGAGATATAGCGCTTTTAAGAGTGCTCATTTAATGTCATGTGACTTGTCACTCCATAACGCCATCATCATATGAGAGCAATTTTACTTTAAATCTCTTCCCTTTCTAGTTATCTGCAAAGATTCAATGCGATGGGACACGAACTTTAGGAGATAGAGTGCTTTTAAGAGTGCACCTTTAATGACACCTGACTTGGCACCTGATGACGTCATCATCATATGAGGGCAATTTTCGTCTATATCGCTTCCCTTTCTAGTTATCGGCAAAGTTTCAACCCAGTGGGACACTTACTTCAGCAGATACAGTGCTTTCAAGAGTGCGCCTTTAAGTTCATGTGACTTGGCACCTGATGATGTCATCATCACATGTGGTCCGTTTTCATCTTTGGTACATCACTTTCAAAATATCTGTTAAGTTTCAACCCAATCGGGCATGTACTTCAGGAGATATAGGCCTCTGAAATTTGCACCTTAAATGCCATGAAACGTGACACGTGATGACGATTTCTTTTGGACCCTGTCTACCCCGAGGAGGACCGAGTGTATACCTAATATGTATTGAGTCAGATTGAAAAAAGGGGCTAGTCTTGATGTTGAAAAATGTGTACGTTGAAAAACGTTAATGTATATCCTCTACCAACAGGACTTCCGTTCACTTCCTCCTACCTGGAATAAGTAGGCTTGCATATCCCTTGGAATGCGTAACTCCTAAGACATCTTCATAAGGGCAGAAGCTGAGACCACTGATGGGAGATCCCAGGGTGTGTCTCATGTAAGGTTTGTCTATGGTGGTTGTACAACAATCCTTATAGACCTGAATATTGGTCAAAGAAGATCATCTCAAAATACCTTCGAGACAGAAGGAGCGAGTACAGAGACATTAGTATTGGTTCCTGGTTTTTTTGTCAATGAAATTGACCAAAATACCTTAACGCGCCATACATGAAGGTACAGTTTATGTTGACGACACCGTGCCATACATGAAGGTACAGTTTATGTTGACGACAATGTGCCATACATGAAGGTACAGTTTATGTTGACGACACCGTGCCATACATGAAGGTACAGTTTATGTTGACGACACTGTGCCATACATGAAGGTACAGTTTATGTTGACGACACCGTGCCATAATGTAGGTCAGATTGCCTGAGTATGAATATTTAACATGCTGTTCTGGATAACCTTTGATTTCTAAAATTTCTCCACAATTATGACACTGTATTGCTTTGAACTCCACAACAGGATGAGCCCCGTGAAAGAAACTGACTTTAAGTTGCTCAAAAAAATTTTCCTGGTTAATGAGACTGTAGAGAACTCACAGAACTTTGAACGTTACCTCGATGACGTTGCTGAGGTTAGCCGCCAGTAAGCCTCTTTGACTGAAGCTAAGGTCTCCAGCACCGTAGGATACACGGTAGACTTGTAAGGGCTTGTAGGTCCGCACATCAAATATCTTCAGCTGCCTGTCCATTCCGGCCGTTGCCATGTACAGTCCTTTCGAGTCAACAGCCACAGCTCGTACTGCGGCCTTGTGACACAGCATCTTCACAACGGGTTCTCTCATACTTGGACTCCATAAAGTGACGGTCCCTGAAAATGTTCAAAAAGAGTGGGAAGTTACATAAAAATCTCAACACGACAGACTACATTATACATGGGTTTGGATTCTCAGTTGATGCTGGGAACCAGAGAAACATTTTTAAAAACCCTCTGGAGCTTCATAATGTGAGAGAACCAGACACACATACATTCCATAGCAACTGACAATCCTGTTAGTTTCTAATCAGTGCTCAGATCTAGAAGAAAACTTCTGGGCGAACAAAACGAGACAACAAAGCTATGAGCTTATTTAATGTTTACTGGAATTCTGTGTCTGTCTTTTTACTAAGATTGTGAAATTCCTTGGGAAAAATACATTAAATTAAACAAACATGGCAAAATTGTGGTGATTAAACCTGAGAACCTCAAGTTGTGAAAATAAAAAACGTCTGAAAGTTGTGCAGCAAAAGGGAAGCGGCACTATTAACTGCGAGATGATCTGCCAGGGACTCACCATCTGGATGACCGAGGTGGATGATTGCATTGTAAGGGTTCTGGGTCATGACATCCAGTCGGCCACACTTTGTTGGGATCTCACTGATCATCTTACCAATGGAAGTATCCAGGTACTGAAGGACACCATGAGCATTCTGGGGCCAAAAACATTTCTTTCTTCAATAACGGTTCAACGCAGTGGGGGTGATACTTAAGAGAAAGTACTGTTAACCATTAGAAGGATGTTAAAACCAACTATGAAACCTTTACCTGAAAGTATGCTCTGATTTTCAATGTAATTTGAGAATTTTCAATTTTTTTCTTAACGAAGCTTCAGGCTAAGACAGAATATTTTATACTTGGTTTGTTTCTGTTGTTTATTTAAACTTTATTTGCCGCCATCCTCCCACCCCCCAAAAAAACCCAGTAACAACATATTTATCAGACAGCAAAATAATGACATAAGGGATGTGAGCCTGATACCACTTGATAAGTTCCAAATATCTGTCAGTTGTTTAAAAAGAAAAACAAAACGGGTGTTGACTCACGGCTGTAGCGAGGAGGAAATGATGTGGTAAGAATTCCATCCTGAGGACGCTGTTCATATTCTTAATGCAGTGAATCTCCACTCCCCGGTTGTCGTACATGTACAGCCACTTCTTCTGGGCCACAGCTAGCATCGTTTCCAGATGAAGCCATCTAAAAACATCAATGCACAGGCAAGACATTTCCAACACTCCGCTCCAAATTCTTCACATATTCTGAATCACAGTCACTGTTCTATGCAAGTTTAAATTTACAGTTTGAAATCCAGAATTTAACTGACTTTGATATTTATCACTTCAGTTTCTTAAACTTCTTTCAAACATACATTTCGTTCACCATCATATAATTCTTCCAAACAATGACCACAATGAATGCACAAAATGCAGACGATAATTTCTGAGATTTCAGCTGTTGTTTTAACATATTATTATCATTCATTAGTTTCAAATTTACTATTGATCACAATATAAAAGTACTGGGGGTGAAGTTTGGATGACATAATCAATATTATAATGTAGATGATTTTTACCTGACTTCTCGGATGGACTCCATAACGTTGATCTCAAACGTGAGTTTTTTACTAACCCAGTCCATGGCAGCTAGATGACCCAGACGACCTCCAAGTAAAAGATGTCGTCCGTTTTTGGTGTAGTTCAGACGATAAGGTCCAAAACGATCCATCTTCAGCTCAAAAGACTGAACAAAAATGCATCAAAATATGCTAACTTTGCTGCATAATTTCATCCACTTAGTTACTGGAGATGATATTGAAGAGATGACAGTAATCACACATTATTCACAAATATACAGAAATGAAATCAAAGGCAAAAATTGGGTTTCGTATTTGTTTTGCACCTTCGTGGCACTGGCTATATCGACAGCCTCACTAATATCCTGCTGGGTGATCTGGTATGTCTCTTCTCCCTCGTCTGCTTCAAGGAACCTGAATTTGGGTACGGAGTAAATAAAGGGTGACAAATAAAGCTAAAGCTTAAGGAGTTGCACTCCCACCCCTTCTGATCAGACTCATCAAACATTCCCAGAAGTCACAGCTTGTCATGGGAAAACAATGCCCCTCACAAGTTGAAGGCATATCTAACGGGTCAAACAGAAATGTGCGATTTGTCCACAGCTTGCTGAAACCTTCAACCTCACCAGTATGTGACATAATAATGATATCAAACCAATTCATCAGGTTCACCATGAAGTGACGTACCATCCATAGACCTGTGTACACGATATGTCACTTCGTGGTGCAGCAACTATCCACGATATGTCACTTCGTGGTGCAGCAACTATCCACGATATGTCACTTCGTGGTGCAGCAACTATCCACGATATGTCACTTCGTGGTGCGGCAACTATCCACGATATGTCACTTCGTGGTGCGGCAACTATCCACGATATGTCACTTCGTGGTGCGGCAACTATCCACAATATGTCACTTCGTGGTGCAGCAACTATCCACGATATGTCACTTCGTGGTGCAGCAACTATCCACGATATGTCACTTCGCGGTGCAGCAACTATCCACGATATGTCACTTCGTGGTGCAGCAACTATCCACGATATGTCACTTCGTGGTGCAGCAACTATCCACGATATGTCACTTCGTGGTGAAACCGAGGAATTGTAACGAGTACAGTATCTTGCAGTATCTGTAATTCACAGGCGGCGATATATGATCATAATCCTTGCACGTAAGACAGCATCTGAACAGTCCTGAAACCATCTCAGCTCCCCGGGGAGCATACTAGCCTTATACTGCCATAGCAGGTGTAAATAGCCAAACATAACAACCATATGCCCGAGCAGGTATCCTACTGAGTGAAAAGATGGACATCTACATTTATAGGGGTAAAGTGACTACATGCACTTGCTACCACCGGCTGGATTTGAACCCCAGACTCTATGATTGGAAGCTACATCCCACCTTGCTTGTGACAAGACGTGAGACTGACTTGTGATTTAACTAGTGACTCAAAAAACAACTCTGTTGCCATGGTAACTGCATCAGTATGCTTCTCTCCTCCATAGATACAACAGTTTGCACTCATATAGTAGGAAATGAGCAACCACACAGCATCAACCTACCATTTCTACTCTGGCTACACCAGTAGTCTACGCATTCTCCAACGTCTACTCGATATCTGAGTCTTGCTTACCCACTGTCTTCTGGAAGGAGCAGCTCTGTCCTTGCAGCTTGCTTGGCGGCCAGTTTCTGCTGCTCCTCATAACGCCTCAGCTTCTTTCTTACTCTGATGTCAGGCATTGTTTTAGCAGTCTGTTAATTTGTAGAAGAACAGTACCATGAAAATAGAAAGAATAGGCCTTTGGCTACTAGGAGTATACAGAAGAGAAACTTGTCTTGCATTGTCACAAGTGTGAGGACACAATTCTAATAACCAAAACTGAAAACCAACCCAATCCTATCTTATCCAACCCATTAACCCAACCCGACCCGATCCAACCCGACCACACCCAACCTCAGTGACCAGACCCAACCCAACACATTAACCAAACCCAACACAACCTGACCCAACCAAACCTGGCCCAACCCAACCCGACCCAAACAATTTACCAACTCAACCAAATAACCCTAACCATGAACCAACCCTTTAACCCAATCCATTCCATTAAACCAACCCACCCAAGGGTGTATTTGCCTGCAACTGGGGACCCCCTATTGTTCCTCTTTTGTTTGTACTTAAACTATTTTAGAAGGCCACCCATATGTTTTGTACACAGTTGTCAATCGGGGACCCTCTGGCAATGGGGGACCTTATTGTCCTCTATTGTTCAGGGTCCCCAATTGAATGCAGAAACAAACTCATTTNACCCAACCCAACCAATGAGCTACCTCAACCCATTACCCAACCCGACTACACCCATTCCAATCCAAAAGCACAGCATTGATGACAATACCGGTAAAGCATGGAGTACAACAGCTGATAGGTCTTGACACGGACACAGACACCATCATCATAAACCAGTCCTAAGTATTCATCTTTTATTTTAGATGGCTTAATCAGTCTGGTTATTTGTGTTACCTCTACCAGCAAAAAAGAATGGTCAAATTATAAACATTTTTAAGAGGCGAGAGTTCACAACTAGAAATTGACTGAGTTAGACTACTGCGTTAAATAAAACTGTAACAGAGTTGAAACATTCCGTAGCCAGAGTGAATACATATTTGCATGGAAACACAGCTACATTGACACCTATCACTATGCATTGTTTTTACAACCTCACTGAGATCACTTCATACTACACATGTACATCTCACTTTTTACAAGACTAACACTTTTCGGAATCAAATGACTTTTCCAAATCAACACTCTTCTCAAGTATACAATTTAGGATTTTGGTCATACACCACACATGTACATCACAGAAGTGTGTCGGTAGCATCAACTAAAGTCATACCGATGATGTGCCTGATTCAAGCTTAAAAAAAAATGCATTGGCTAAATTTTCCTTCCCACCAATTCCAAATTAATAATTCTGAACAAGCAAACACGGTGTTTGGGTGTAGCAGTACTTTCGATATTAATTGGAGCAGGAAAATGAACATAAGTATTCCTCGCAAATCACACTGCACATTTTGAAAAATTATTACCATTTACCTTTCTGCCATCTTGAAATTGCCATATAACATGAGACAGTATCCGTGTTTTGAAATGAAATTGACAGTCCTTTGGTACTAACCGCACAAGCATGCAAGTTTATGCGCGTTTGATGCGAAGCACGCTGAATACACGCAACAATTCATTCTGGAATGTATGGTCTTCGCATGCATGCCAAATGCGTACAAGAAACCGGTTGGAGGACTTCATACCAGTCTGTTTGTTACTGGTGAGGGCGCACTTCAGCTCAAGGCAGATACCCTGACTCACTCGTGGGTTATACTCCTGCTGCTTGTGCACTCATGAGTAACAGAAAACATTCAAACACAGCAAGTGTGTAGGATACTTAGGCTTCTGAAGAGAAGTTCACTTTGTAATGGTAATTTTGTGAATATTACTTCCGCTGAACAAGTTCCTTTTAAACTGCATGCAATAGAGACACAAACAAAACTCATTATCCGTTTTTGCCAGGTACATGTAGATACGCCCCTATATTGTCATCTAGGGTACCACGGATACACTTTTTTCAACAAGACAAATGAAAATTAACTAAATCATGGTGTATGGGAAAAGTGTTATTTACAGATCCTATTCCTGTCTGGTATTTGGTCAAATCTCCCACGAAGAATGCAGTCGAACACTGTCTTGAATTGAGGGTGCTTAAAACCATAGATCATTGGGTTCAGACAGCTGTTTGCTGACAAGATCACCATGGCAACTGGCATCACTTTCTGTACTGTAGTTGTATCCTCCAATGTATATGATAAGAGAGTACAGATGCTGGCAGGTGAAATGCAGACAAAGAAGGCACACACCACGAACAGGAGATTCTTGGATACTTCAACTTGGAGTTTAGCGTTGGGTCTAGGTTGCTGAATTGTCTGCTTGCTGCAAACTTGCATTTTAATGGGAGCTTGCAAACATTGAAATCTCTTTGCATGGGTGTGAATGTGGCGAAAGACCATGGCACAACTCCAAAATAGGACACAAAATTGACCAGGGACTAAACAGAAGAGGAGGGCTAGGGCACAGTCTTTGTGGGTGTTCTTTGTGTCTACATAGCAGGACAAGAAACCTTCATCAAAGCCAAGTTTAAGGCAACCAGTCAGACATGCGGTAAGTTCAGCAAACATGGGAATCAACCAAGTCAGACTGATGGCTAAAGCAGTCCTCCGCTGACTGAACAACTTCGTGTATGCTGCTCTATTCAGGCGAATGATGGCATATCTGCTGAGGGCAATGCACATTAGATTGTTGATGCTACATCCAAAGCAAAGTACAAACATGAAGCCAGCAATGGTGCAGAAGGGATTGTTGGTTGGTGATTGCTCTCCCTTGAGGAATACAACTGCGTTAATTGGAGTTACATAGACACAAGTCAAAAGGTCAGCAATGCTCAGATTCAGCACAAACATATTGGTGGCATGCCAGAGTTTCTTGGACAATATCATGGCAGCAATAACCAGCATGTTGCCAAATGTTCCCAGGATTGAAGCTACCAGAGAAAACCCCACCACGATCTGCCTATAGGTGTAGCTGAAGTACACCTCATCAGACGAGGAACTTGTGATGTTGTCTTGCTCATCCATCGACGAATGACTAAACAACACAGTGATCCTTGAGCCTCGTACTAGTAAATATTGCAAACAATCCTCAGTTCAACTCTCTTCCAATTATTGATGCTTCCAGTTGGTCAGATCCATTTGTTGTCTTGGCAACACATCACAGTGCTTGGAAACAGCCAATACTGTAAAAAAAGCGAAGTCGCCAGGTCTATCTTTGTCAAAAGACATCCGCAGGTAGTTGGGAAGACACTCACTCAGCTCTTTCCCAAGCAGTCATCTCTATCATCTGTAAGCTGCGATGCAAACGCTTGGTATAACCATCCAACACTGTTACCAACTACATGTAAAAAACTCCATGCATAATATATAGATGTATATAGTTGGGAAGGCCACTGGAGTAGGGAAAGCTAATTGACAGCATCAATAACCACTACATGTAAATGGATCCTGTCATTATTGTAAAAGGATGAATCATTCAGACATAATGGCTTAATAATTTAGACCGACAGAAAACAATTTCATTTACTTGTTGAGGCTCAGTGTAAAACTTGCTGGTACTATAATCAATTCCTGAATAATACCATAAATTTAAACAGCAAGTTTAAAAATCCATCCCCATATGCAGCAAGGTATGAGACAGAGAGAACCCCCCAGCTTTGTGTCGGTCAATGTCTCGCAGGAATCTGGGGAATTCCTTTCAGACATCTTTGGGGGGGGGATGTGTTAAGTAACAATAGTCTGGAATGTGTA